GAGAGTTGTGAGGTTCGAACTCCAGGAACCTGAGGCTGACAGCTTTGTGGAAGCAGCCACTTAAAGGACTGAGCTAGGGCCAGGCCCCCTTACCATGATTTAATATACTGAATTATAGTGAAGAGCCAGGTCTCTACATTGAGGAACTATGGTATTTCACATGCATACCTAACAGATTAAAAGATGGTGGCGAAAGGCCTAAAGGCAGGTTTTCCTTATCAGTATATTTAAGAATATGTTTCAATTTCTATACATTATTGATTTTAAAATAGAGCTTACATTAGCCCTGTGATTAACAAATAATTTGACATTTTCAAAGTTTTTGATAGTGAGTCTTAAAAAACTACTGAGAAAAGGCCAGGTGCTGTCCCAAGGCTTCGCTCACAGCAGCATACCCACCCGGCCGCTTGCAGTAGGAAGGTGGCACAGGTGCAGCAAAAGCACACTGCACTGCAGAAGGGAGCCAGGAGTGGGCGGAGGGGGCCTGCTGCACTGCCCCACAGTGCCTGCTGCAGAGAGTGTCTGTTCTGATTATTAAAGGATCTGGCATTAGTTCAGTGCCACTGGCCATGAAATGCCACGCTAAGTGTTGCAGAAAGTCTGAGAAATAATGTTAGAAACGAAGCCAGTGCTGGTGTACGTTGGGTTTCTGATGGACAGGGAAATGGCCCCAGGGAGACTTACTGTTGCGATGCAGTAGGGGATGTTGTTTTTACACCCAGGACAGAGGAGTTCGCACTCCGGGAGAAGAAACTGGCAGAATGGACATGGGGTGGTGGGCTCTTCTGTCTCAGATGTATCCGGTCTCCTGTGAGGAAGAGTCTTATGTCCTTAAAGCACCACTTTATTTCATGCGACATGGAGAACAGCAGATGGGACAGGACCACGTAACACCAATTGCTTAGGCAGGTTGAGACTCAAGGTATTTCCCAGCTCACATGAGTCCCCTGGCCAGGGATAGTGGTGAGGAAGAGGACTTGGGCCTGACCAGGTTCTAGGGGGCGACATGGCATGCACAGGAGCTGGAGCTCTCAGCAGCACAGTAAATGCAGGGAATGAGGTCATGGTGGTGCTGGAGTGTGAGCCCGGGACCCTGCTGTCTCCCTCTGTGTAACTGAAGGAGACAATGTCTTTCTGGGACAATGGACGGTTCCATTCCAGTGTCCATGTTCTCAGGCACCAAGGTTGGTACCTGACCCAGCTGACACAAAAGTCCTACTCACTTCCACTTGCATTACCAGTGAGCCACAGAAATCCTCACTTGTTCAAGGCATTGCTGGGTTTATGCTGCTCTGTAGATTATAACCCTTCACCACCTACCCAGTTAGCAGCCCCATTTTGGAAAACATTGTTGAGAAATGTGATCAGCTAAGAAATGATGCCCTCTTCCCACCTGACCATGGCCTCGATCTTCTTTTTGTATTTGGCATCTATCTTGTTGCGGTACTCGGGCCTCATGAGCATGGCCGCAAAGCTGAAAGCGGAGTTCTTCAGGCCCGCCCTGTGGCACTCAATCACAGTCGACGTCAGGATCGGCACGATGTCTGCAACACACGGGACAGCAGGCAGTGCTCGCCAGCGGGCCTGACGCATCTGTGGCTCGGCAGTGAAACAGAATCCCGATTCTCTACGCTCTGCTCTAGCGCCCGCCAAAGCCTTTCCTGTGCTGGCAGCGGTGCCCTGGGGCCCATGCCCGGATTACAAGGTGTATACTATTATGTCTGGCCAAAGTTTCCATGTAACAAGAAGAGAATACACGTAAGAGCTGGTCAAATAGCTCAGTGGATTAAAGCACCTGCAAGCAGGAGCAGGGGCTGGGGCTTTGATTCCCGGGCCTGCTGTGCCAGCCCCGCCCCTGGGGCACGCTGAGACTGCAATTGAGACTGGGCATGGTGGTGCGTGCCTGTAATCCCAGCTCTTGGGAGGCTGTAAACAGGAGAGTAGACCCTTCCCTAAAAAATACAAAAAAACCCAAAACAAAAACAAAAACAAAAACCCCAAACATAGAGAACAGGGGTTATGAATTATGACTAGCCAGATTTGGCCCTGACTCACTTATGGCCCATGCACTAAGAAAAGTTTTGTATTTTTAAATGGTTCAAAAAAGAAGAACACATACCTGTGTGGGACCAAACAATAGCACTTGTGTGCGCAGACACACTGCACCAGTGGGCTTGCGACCATCACCCCCAACAGACCTCCCTGGGATTGTGGCCCCTGGCGTACACCTGTGCACTGGATTAGTGAGGGGGCCTCCAATTTCAGAACTGACAGGTGGCCCCTGCCTAAAGTCCTTTAGAAACTGGTTTAGGCTGAGCTCCTGCTTCTGGGAGCCTGGGGGTTTGGCTGGTGCGGCTGGCAGGGGCAGATCTCTGGGAGGAGGCATGTTCTGACAGTACTCACGTGATGGAAACTTGCTGATGTTGTTGGCCACTCGAATGAGCATGCGCGCCCCTTTCCTGTGGTCACCGTTTTTAACATGGATCTGAAATAAGTAACATACTTTATTCTTTTTACAGGCGCAGATCAACCCTAAGTCATGCTTTCCTCCCCCAAGTCACCCCTTGATGTGGCCTAGATCAGGGCTGTCTGAGGTCCTTGGAGCCTTTCCTGGCTCACACGCTGGCACATTACCCTCATCTCTGTCCTGTGCTCTGCATTATACTTTGCCCAAGACCAGGCGCTATGAATTCAAATCTCTTACCCAGTGAGAGACTACAGATAGTAACTTTACCGCGTAGCCTAGTCAGGAGTTAGCGAGTGTAGGAGGGCACTGGAGGAGGAGAATGACCATAACCTGCTAAGGCAGAGGGCACTGGGAGGCCAGGAAGGTGGACTTGAGGCAGACGAAGCTGAGAGGGGCAGGGGCCAGGCCTTGAGGCTGCTGCAGTCACTCACCATTGTCCCAAAATACTAACAATAACTTATTTCTCTGTGTTCTGAAGATTCTATTTTAGTTACTGTTAACCTCTTACCGGAAGCAGGGGAAGCTTGCTTTACTCTCCCTCCCCTTCCAGTCACTCTGGCCTCTGCCCAAGGTCCCTGTCCCTACTCTGAAAGCAGCCCGCAAAGCCTGGCCCAGCTGTCCCAGAGTGGGGCTGGATCTGTCCTCAGTCCTGAGACAAAAACACTGGTGGCGTTTTTACATCCAATTTTTTTTTTTTTTTTTTTGCTTGACAGGGCCTCATAGTTTTCTTTTAGTACTGTAGCAAGAGTACCAAGAATTTTAGAAAGTCAGAGCTGCAGGCTGCTCTCCAGAGGAAGGCCAGGACATCTGGTGGGAACGGAAGCCACAGGCCAGCCCTTGGCCACAGCCATGAGGCAGACTCAGGAAAGCATCCCAGAAGTATCCACAGCTGAGCTGGCCAGCGGCCATGGTCAGCCATCACCTCTTTTCTTTTCTCATCTCCTACCAAGCAGTTTCTTTCTAACGTCCCTCCACCCTGAAGGCGGTGTCAGCTGGGCCTGTGCTCCCAGGACTTGGGGGATTGAACCGCAGTCCCTGTGCTTTGCTAAGCTTGTTCTAAGTAGGTGTTTTAGACCACTGAGCCATCTCACCAGCCCTTCCATGTTGTTTTGCCCTTGAAGTGTATAGACAAGACCCGTGTCCAAAAAGTTCTACTTAAAACCTTTTTGTTGATCCTGAGTTTATTCCTTTTTTTTTTTTTTTTTTTTCCCCAGAACCAGGGATTAAACTCAGGACCTTGTGCTTTCCAGGCAGGCACTTATACCACAGAGCTATCTCCCCATCCCTGTTTATTCCCTTATTAACTCTGTAAGCATATTTTATAAAATTCCAGTTTTCAGTAGTCTCCTTTTCACCTGAATATAAAAGTAATACAGGGCTGGGGACATAGCTCAGCAGCCTAAGCACCTGCCTGGCAAGCCCAAGGACCTGAGTTCACTCCCCAGTACCACATACCTATCTGGCCCTGAAACTAGGCATGGTGGCACACACCTGTAATCCCAGTGCTGGGGAGGCTGAGACAGAAGGATCATGATGAGAACCTCCACCTCCCACTCCTTTCCCTGCAGGGCTCTCCTGCCCCTCTGAAGAGGGGCGCACGCCCAGGGGCTACAGATGGGATTCTAAATGCCTCTCCATGTAATCACTCTTACACTCCTGTGTGGTCTAATAGGGCAGCTGGTAGTCACATGGGGCTACTGAAATAAAAAAATTCAAATTACATGAAATTAGAAAGCGTTATCAGTTGTACTAGCTGCATCTGGAGTGCTCCACAGCCACACTGGTGGCCGTGTACAGCGCAGCAAAGGCTCAGGCTGGTTCTGTCCTGGCAGAAAGTTCCACAGCACAGGGCTGACTCAGGCCATCGTGGGGACTTGGACCCTTTGTAACTTCACTGCTCTGTGCTAGGTAACTTCAAGCTTAAATCGGCTCTTACGGATGGACCAGAGAACCAATCTAGCACTAATAGAGAAAGAGATGCTTTGATGTAACTAAAAATTTGGGAAAATACAAGTTAGGTTTTTGCCCACACCTCTACAAAGAAAAAAAAATTATATATATGACATTAATGTAAATTATACATACAAGTAACTGAGGTTTACATAATCTATTTTCATTCTATTAAGAATTACTAAATAGAAAACCAGAATAAACAACTAGAAATAAATATAATCCTTAGTGAAATAAAAAAGCTGTACACATGCATTTATAGCGGTTTAGAGAATATATACAACATAGCACTAATAATTGTATTTGAGTAATAA